TAAAACTTCGCTTCCAAAAACTTTCTGTTAATCGGATCATTTATGGGGAGAAAAATGCGAAAAGTTCTAAGTTACCCGGCCAGTGCTTTCGCTGGGTCCATGCAGCTTTTCATGGCCTCTAAAATTTGAAATAATTTGGATATATCAACAGAGTTGAAATGGTAAATTTGCCTCTAAAATTTGAGGCATGTCGCCACTCACCAAAGTAACTTGGATTCACTTACAGTTTATAGTGTCTATGTTTGTCAATTTTGCACAGCGAACGATGTAGAAACGATCATAGATAAATCTCATTTAGTCACTTTCGCGTGATAACGTTACAAACACTTACCTAGAACGACTTTCCCGTTACAAACTTATCGTTGTGCTCGGTGATCTTGCGCTAACACTGAATTCACTGTTTGTAATTAACAAGAAATTATTAGCATGAAAATCTTTACCAAAAATCATTTACATAATTATCTTCCACGGTGCTTATCAGTCTCAATTGGGTATATTATCCCATGGTCAAACCTCACATAGCGTGTCTAATAACATTCCATTTTTTAAAAATTTTTCAAGCTGTCCTTCATGGCAAATTTTCGTAGAAATTGAGAATTCACCCGAAGTTATACTTTGCCTTTGCAGATTATCTTAATAAAAATAAAACTCTCATATAAAAGTATAATGCGGACACATAAAAGACGAAAGTAGAGTGAAACTTGTATAAAAAGATAATAACAACTTTTAAAATATGAAGAAAATGATAGGCTTTAGGTCAATCGTCGAAAGGTGTGTTATTTATCTGTAACTAGTTTGCATTTGAGACCAAGGAAAAAATTCGAGTTCTTGGAAAACTTTTAATTTCTTTGTTTCACGCTTGTGATAGATGCATGATGCATTTATGATCCTATCCGAAGATCTGAGTTCGATTCGTCGAAGAGGACAAACTTTCGTCCCATTATTGCCATAAGTGAATAACATCTTTATTCAACGTACACAACTTCGACTTTTATTAAATATCCAGCTGTCCTTAAAGGCAGAAATTATGGGAGGTCCGTCACGCTATTTTTTATATCTTCAAAATTACCTTTAAAGTGCTACTGCGACCAATAATAATAATAATAATAATAATAATAATAATAATAATGATAATAATAATAATAATAATGATAATAATAATAATAATAATAATAATGATAATAATAATAATAATAAATAAATAAATAATAATAAATGCTAAACTGTGTAAGAGCTGGAAGACAAAGGTAGTGGCGATCACAAGGGAAGGGAGACAGACCTCCGAAAGGATTAAGTTCAACAGAGGGTTACCACAGGGGGATGCATTGTGCCCGAGGCTGTTCACCGTATGCTTGAACCCAGTGGCATGGAAGATCAGAGCCGCTGAAGGATACCGGATGTCCAAACCTATTAACAGCAAGGTTACGGGACTCTTGTATATTGATGATATCAAGATCTTCGCTGCATCGGAGAGTAAGCTTGAACGGGTTATGAAGATGGTTAAGTCATCTATGGAGGATGTGGGGCTTCAGTGGAACCTAAAGAAGTGTGCGGTGGCCCATGTGAAAAGGGGGGTACAAGTGACTGCTTTCTCAGGGGGGAGAGTTGTGGAGTCGACTAGAATACCATGTCTTGATGATGGTGAGCGGTACAAGTTCCTTGGAGTACTTGAGAGTGTTAGGCAGGAGGATAAGTTGGTCCTGGAGTGTGCAGCAAGAGAGTATCTCAGACGATTGTCAGTTATTTGGACAAGTCCCTTGTCCGATTATAATCGGGTGGTAGC